GGTAGAACACGTGCAGTGGGTGGAGCAGGTAGAACACGTGCAGTGGGTGGAGCAGGTGGAGCAGGTAGAACACGTGCAGTGGGTGGAGCAGGTAGAACACGTGCAGTGGGTGGAGCAGGTGGAGCAGGTAGAACACGTGCAGTGGGTGGAGCGGGTAGAACACGTGCAGTGGGTGGAGCAGGACGTGGAGCAGGATGAGCAGTGGGCTGTCGTTTGGTAGGTGGAGACGGTGAGGCAGGACTCTTCTTCTTTACTGAAGCAGGAAGCTGGTCTTCAGGAGGGATGGAAAGGATGGACCAGCTGCATCGAGGATCAACCTGAGGATGGAACCAAAGCTTTATGTTAGCTTCATGATGGATTAACATCTCACTGTAACAACTTCAGTGTGCTGTGAGGCTTCATGAAAGTTTTAAGCAAAATAAAATACTTGATTTCAGAGAAAGTTTTTTGCAGCCAACTACAGATGTTAACAAATGTCTGTATTTGAAACTTTTTGGTTCAAAATGCAACATCATTTGAAAACAGTTGATGTCTTCTTTTTACCGTTTAACAACTCATCTTCATCCCAAGGCATAATTTGGGGGTGGGGGTGTGTAACACAATAGTCAAAATAACCCTCCCAATAAATGGACATCATTTGCTCAAACACATTAGAAATGACAGTGGTGTGCGAACGTTTGGGCAGCCTTGTTAATTTTCCTGACTTACCTTATAAATCATTGATTGTTTGGATAAAAAAATCTTCATTTATGTGACAAACAGTGATATTTGAGAGGTGAAATGAAGTTTATACGGTTTACAGAAAGTGTGCAATAATTGGTTAAACAAAATTAGGCAGGTGCATAATTTTATAAATTTGGGCACAAAAAAAACCTACTCATTATTTAGTATATCCTCCTTTCACAGAAATAACATTCTCTAAACACTTCCTATAGCTTCTAATGAGAGTCTGGATTGTGGCTGAAGGTATTTTAGACCATTCTTCTTTACAAAACATCTCTAGTTCATTCAGGTTTGATGGTTTCTGAGCATGGACAGCTCTCTTTAAGTGACACCACAGATTTTCAATAACACTGTATTCAGGTCTGGGGACTGAGATGGCCATTCCAGAACGTTGTACTTGTTCCTCTGCATGAATGCATTAGTAGATTTTGAGCAGTGTTTTGGGTGGTTGTCTTGTTGGAAGATCCAGCCCCGGCTTCAGCAGCTTCAGCTTTGTCACTGATTCCTGGACATTGGTCTCCAGAATCTGCTGATACGATTGGAATCCATGCGTCCCTCAACTTTAACAAGATTCCCAGTCCCTGTACTGGCCACACAGCCCCACAGCATGATGGAACCACCACCAAATTTTACTGTAGGTAGCAGGTGTTTTTCTTGGAGTGCTGTGTTCTTTTTCCTCCATGCATAACGGCCCTTGTTCTGCCCAAATAACTATTTTTTAGTTTCATCAGCCCACAGCACCTTATTCCAAAATGAAGCTGGCTTGTCCAAATGTGCTTTAGCATACCTCAAGCAGCTCTGTTTGTGATGTGGGCGGAGAAAAGGGTTCCTCTGCATCCCTCTCACATACAGCATCTCCTTGTGTAAAGTGTGCTGAATAGTTGAACGATGCACAGTGACTCCATCAGC